CGTGTGCTCTTCCGATCTCACAGCGTTTATATATCTTTGAAAATATGCGGGCGAAGTACTCAACCCGAATGGCATCCGCAAAAATTCATAGTGCCCATTGGGTACAATAAAAGCTGTATATTTACGGCTATCTTCGGCTACTGAAACGTGAAAAAATCCATTTTCTAAGTCTAACGTTGTAAAGATTCGAGCACCTTGAAGTCTATCTATTTGGTCCTCTATAATAGGCAATGGATAACGAACCTTTACTATTTTATCATTTAACTTGCGGTAATCAACACATAATCGCGTTGTGCCATTTTTCTTTTTAACAAGTACAATGGGACATAATTAGAATATGACGACTGAATAATACCCTTTTGTAACCATTCTTGTATCTGCGAATCAACAATCTCTAACTCTTGAGGTGCCAATCGGCGCGCGCGTTGGTAAATCGGAACGTCGTCTTTTACTACTATTTGTAACTTAATTCCTACATCTTCAGTTTTTTGCGGCTTATAATCGGATATTATCTGTTGAAGCTGCTTCCTGTGATCCTGATTACTCACATGTGTGAGATCTATATCGCTCACTTCCGAATTAATGTTAATTCTATTGACAAAAAGCGATTCGTCAGGCTCCTTCACAATTTTGGTAATACTTATTATTTTACCGCCTCTTATTCGTGCGTCGACATTACTCAAAAAATCTGAACCAATAAGAACGTCATCGTTTAAGAGTGCATCAGAGACCACATGGAAATCAACTTCAAAGTGTTCACCGTCAATACCTACTCCCATACAAACTCGTCCCAAGGTAACGTTTTCCGTAGCGCCGATGCCACAAAATTTAATCGTTTGCTTAACTAAACTTGGAGCTCCTATTTTCACATAAAATGCCGCACGCATTAGACTTATATCGCTACCTGAATCAAACAAAGCAGTTACGTCACTATTATTAATTTCAACAAGTTTATAAATTCTTTTAGATCTATCGCATATTACCTTCGGATTGCTTTCTACCTTATCTTGAATCGCATTACATTTCTTACTCTTTTCTGTCTTTTTAGGTTGCGGACAATTCGCTGCGATATGCCCATGTTCGTTACACTGGAAGCATAATACGCTCTTCTCCTTCGACGGACACGTAGCACTAACGTGGTTTTTGCCACCACAATTATAGCAACGCCTAATTTCTGTCTTTTCGCCTGTCTTGTCCTGCGCCTGCTTTTTCCTGATATCGTCGGCCCTAATCTTAACATTACCTACATGCTTATTCCTAGCTTTCATTAACTCATACATATCTAATTTCGTTTTCAATTGTGAAATAGTTTTAGCGCCATATAAAATTGTTTTGTTTACCTCGTCATCGGTAATACCATCTATTATGTATTGAATAATCGCGGAAGTTTCCATGTTTATCGGCGACGCTATTTCCAACATTTTATAACAGTACTGGTGGTAAGTTTCGTCCTGTTTCTTCTTTCTTCTTTGTAGCTTCATGTGAACAGCGTGACTATCCAACCTGGGGGCGAATTCAGATTTCAACGCAGCCTTGATGTCCTTCCACGGCTTCCCACGCACTTCATGGTTTACAAAAAGGCGCGCAGATCCGACCAATAATCGCCTCGCATATATCGTCTGATGTACCATCGACCATCCGCATAATTTCACTAAGTCCTCAAATTCTCTTATCCACTGATTAATGTTTTTTCCGTCATCGCCGCTAAATTTATCGATAGCGTCTTCTACGTCTTTAAAAGTTAGCACATACTTTCTGCGTTCCTCCGGCCTTGTATCTTCGTCTTCGTCGTTATCTCTTGCGTCGTATTCCATCACCGTTTCGTCTAAATCGTCGTCACTTTTATCGCCCGATCCGCTGTCCTCAGCGCCGTCGTCATGATCGTCTCCATCGTTTCGTTTAAGTCGCTCAGTTAACT